TATTACAAATGTTGTTGAACGCTTCGGTATTAAACATCTATTTGACGTTTTCGTCAAGTACAGTGGATTCAGATTGTTGAAATTACATGTTAGTGTGAAGCGTTCAGTGTGGTTTGTAGCTTCATGGAAAATCTTCATCTCTTTTACTTCTCTAAGTGCGTTTATTTTTATTTATCTTTATTCTTTAAGTAAATGAATATTTCATACAATACCGTTGAAACGTAAATGACTACTATAAAAGGCTGACTGGAATAACTTGACATCTCGTATGATGGGAAAACAACCATAAACTCTAGAAAAAGGTTACATTTACTTCACTCAACGTTTCATTTCTACAACTTCTTCAGGAACGACCTATTACTGACACTACTATACTAACAATATGTAAGAGACTATACGCTTTTAAGTTTGTTCTTTACACCAATGAAGAGTTAGGAACAAGGTCACGTGGATAATATTGTTTACATTAAAATAAAACTGTACAGCAACATTAATGTTTAATTACACGAATATAAGTGTGTAGCCTAAAGTTATATTGAAAATCATTTGAATATTGAAAGATATAGAACATAAAATATTGTACAATGAAACAGAGTTGCTGAACGTGTAAGAGCCTTAAAGTAACTCAAGATAGGTGGTGGATCAGTAAGTGAAAAAATGGTATATCGACATCTGATTGTTCTTTAACATAGATGGTGGATCACTAACTGAAAAAAAATTGTATATTGATATCTGATTGTTCTTTATCATAGATGGTGGATCACTAAGTGGAAAAAATGGTATATCGACATCTGATTGTTCTTTAACATAGATGGTGGATCACTAACTGAAAAACAAATGGTATATTGATATCTGATTGTTCTTTATCATAGATGGTTGATCACTAAGTGAAAAAAAATGGTATATCGACCTCTTTATTGACGTATAGAATACATTAAAAACGTATAATCTGTTTAACTTTGTGAGTTTAGCAATAGAAGGTGTCGCTCCTGAAAAGTTCTTTGTTTTGTTTGTAATTAAGCACAAAGCTACACAATGGGCTATCTGTGCTCTGCCCACCACGGGTATCGAAACCCGGATTCTAGCGTTGTAAGTCCGCAGACATACCGCTGTGCCACTGGGAGGCGCTCCTGAAAAAGTTGTAGAAATAAAAGGTTGATTGAAATATATATATATAACAATGTTCTTGAGGTTATGAATATTTTTTACCACATGAAGTGGTAGTTGTAATACACTCTTTCTTGTTTGATGAGTGGTGGTATAATGAACAAACTTCACACAGCTGAAATGGTTGTAATACTCTTCCTTGTTTGATGAGTGGTGGTGTAATGAACAAACTTCACACAGCTGAAATGGTTGTAGTAATAATAAATATGCAATTAACAAAAATAATTAACATCACCATGTGTAAGTGGGTAAAAGTTGTCAGCCACCACAACACAACGAAACGGAAATATCTTAAAATGTAATCCAAAAACACACAAAGACGAAATATGCCGGAACTAGCCATCAAAACCTGTTTATTGATGAGTGTAGTATCACTGTGTATTAGAATATACATAGGGTTGAAGATAGTCTGTGTGTTCTGCCTTTTGAAACATCATTTTCTAAACTTGAGTTTCTATAACAGGCAGTTGCCGTCCATTCAACTTAGTTTCTAGAAGATAATACTCGTGTCTGCAGAGTAGTATAGAATACAAAATAGGTATTGCAGTTTATATTATCCTACAGAAAGATAGGTACAACTGTAACAGAAGATAATACTCGTGTCTGCAGAGTGGTATAAAATACAAAATAGGTTCCACATGTATGATACGCAAATGTAGCCAAAGTAAAAACGAAAGACCAATACAACAAATTCAGAATGGAAAGTCTGAATAAATTTGTTCTATTTATACATATTTAATAAACACTTTTATGAATACAGTGAGGTGATTACTTTTTATTGTCGAAATTATTAAATTATTATTATAAAAACAATTAGTGAGAAAACAAGCGATTATTTAATAACATACAAATTTTGGTGTAAAAATTGTATCATTTTTAGTAATGATTATATATATATATATATAGAAGATAATACTCGTGTCTGCAGAGTAGTATAGAATACAAAATAGGTATTGCAGTTTATATTATCCTACAGAAAGATAGGTACAACTGTAACAGAAGATAATACTCGTGTCTGCAGAGTAGTATAGAATACAAAATAGGTATTGCAGTTTATATTATCCTACAGAAAGATAGGTACAACTGTAACGTAGATATGCATATGTAATACCTCAGAAAATCATTGTATTTCATGAATATTATTTATTGTATACATATAAATATTTAACTATAGGTATAATATTCCTTCCCATGATGCAACGGTATATTCAGATTTTTCAGTGTAAATCCGTTTTGTTGTTCTTTAATTTTTCTTATTTTACTACATATTTGTTGAACTGGTTTTGCAGTTTATATTATCCTACAGAAAGATAGGTACAACTGTAACAAAAAAGATATTTAAGAGTTTGAAATTAAAACCAGTTTAAACAATAAGATAGTTTAAATTATTATTATTATCCGTTTTTGTAGGCTTCTTTGAATAGAAATTTTATTATATAAATGATATTGTTTTATTGTGACAGGTACAGAATATTTTGTTTATTTGTTTGTTTTAGCCTAAAGTTAAATAACAGGCTATCAACGATATACATCCATCACGAGAAATCGACCTCAGTGTGTAATGTTTAACGAATATTAATGTTTAAAACTATATCGATATTTACTTATTCATTATTTTGTTTCTTCTAGTTAATCACAAAGCTAGGCAATGCACTACCTCTGATATGTTCAACACGAGTATCGAAACTCGGTTCTTGGCGTTATAAATTTTTAGACTTACAGCTGAGTCACTGTGGAAATACAGGGAATACACAATGGGCTATCTGAGCCGATCGTACCACGGGTATCGAAACCCGATTTTCGATCACCTGTATATGTTTCACTGTTGAAGTGAGTCACACTGAAGACGTGGTAGGAAAACTATAGTAACACCTTCAATATCTAGTAAGTTTAACTATCTAAAGGTTGCATGTGATTGTAAACCTTCACGTTCTATACATTGAGGTACACAACTTTTGAATGTTGCCTTTCAGATTGAATGTTGCCTTTCACATGTTTCATCATAGATGAAGTTAATGTACCATTTATTGCTTGTCCACGTCTATGATTATGTATGGTGATCAATTCTTGCTTAACACCAGACACTTTACCTGGCGATATTTCTGTTAATTTGGCTTCGTTGGTGAAATAAGCTGGCGCATTTTTAGTTTTATACCGTGGTTACCTTGCTTTTAGAAATAAAATACTCTATTAATTTTTTTTGTCTGTACTATGCTATTTTTTCAATGTGTACCCAAGAGAACTTCAAAACAATACAACACAATTCTAGAATTGTCTTAATAATTCAACCAATAAAACAAAATTCCAGGAGGAACTAACCAATCAAAATCTGATTATGAAAAAAATCAATCAATCAGCATCAAGTTTACACAATGCTTAGGTCTAGAACTTTTAGAAGTAGGAAAAAATATGTGCTCTATTTATATTGCAAATATTTACAAATGTTTCAAATTATAATCAAAACATAATTTAGTCATGTTTTTATTTTACAATGCCACAAAATAATAAATATATAATATATTGGAATCATACTATGATCTTATATGATATAAGACCATCCCAATATATATGTATATGGTAGAGGTTGTTTATAAAT